TTAAAGGAGGTGGTAGTCTGACCAGTCTTTAAGAAGGCGTCCCTAGATCCAGAGATGGCCACTAATTATAGACCAGTGGCCAACATCCCGTTTTTGGGTAAGGTGTTGGAGCAGGTGGTGGCAGGACAACTCCAAGCACTCTTGGATGAAACTGATTATCTGGACCCATTTCAGTCCGGCTTCAGACCCGGGTACGGTACTGAATCTGCCTTGGTCGCCCTGTACGATGACCTGTACCAGAAGAAAGACAGGGGGAGTGCGTCCCTGTTGGTTCTCCTGGACCTCTCAGCGGCTTTCAATACCATCAACCATGGTATCCTTCTGGATAGGCTAGCAGGATTGGGAGTCGGAGGCACTGCCTTGCAGTGGTTCCACTCCTATCTCAATGGCCAATTCCAGAAGGTGGTGCTGGGGGACTATGGCTCTGCGCCATGGCAGTTATGCCATGGAGTACCGCAGGGATCCATTTTGTCCCCTTTGCTATTTAACATCTACATGAAACCGCTGAGAGAGGTCATTAGGAGGTGTGGGCTGCAGAATCATCAGTACGCTGATGATACCCAGCTCTACCTCTCATTTTCTACCAATCCAGGTTAGGCAGTGGCTGTACTGAACCGGTGCCTGGCCAAGGTAATGGGCTGGATGAGGGCTGATAAATTAAAGCTCAATCCAGACAAGATGGTGGTCCTGTTGGTAGGTGGATTGGACTCCCTCTTAGTCCGGGCCCAATTCAAGGTGTTGGTTATTACCTATAAAGCCCTTAACGGCTTGGGTCCTGGCTACCTAAAGGAGCGCTTACGTCCATATGTGCCCTCCTGCTCCTTGAGATCAGTGGGAGAGGCCCTTCTCTGGGAACCCTCTGTGAAGGATATTAGGAGGGTAAATACCTGGAGGAGGGCTTTCTCTGCAGTGGCGCCCAATCTATGGAATGTGCTCCCCAGAGAGGTCCACCTAGCGCCGTCATTATTTGTTTTTCGGCGCCAGGCCAAGACCTTTTTATTTAAACCTTATTTGAATTGTTAGCTTTATTTATTGATTTTATATCTTTGGCCAGGACGTCTCCAATTATATTGTTTTTATATGTTTAATATGTATTTATTTATTGTTGTGAGCCGCCCTGAGGCTTCAGCGAATGGGGCGGCATAGAAGCTTACTAAATAAATAAATAAATCTAGAAGGTGCTGTAGGCCTTCATAGAACCGGTCAACTTCAGCCTCTTCAGCACCAGTGGTTGGGGTATAGACTTGGACTACTGTGATGTTGAATGGTTTGCCTTGGATTCAAACTGAGATCATTCTGTCATTTTGGAGACTGTATCCCAGTACTGCTTTTCCTACTCTTTTATTGACTATGAAGGCTACTCCATTTCTTCGGAGGGATTCTTGCCCGCAGTAGTATACCTGATGGTCATCTGAATTAAATTCATCCATTCCTGTCCATTTTAGTTCACTGATTCCTAAGATGTCCATGTTCAGTCTTGTCATCTCTTGTTTGACCACATCCAGCTTGCCTTGATTCATGGATCTTACATTCCAGGTTCCTATGGAGTATCAATCTTTGCAGCATCGGACTCTCCTTTCACCACCAGATACATCAGCAACTGAGTGTCCTTTCGGCTTTGACCCAGTCGCTTCATTCTTTCTGGCGCTACTAGTACTAGCCCTCTGCTCTTCCCCAGTAGCATATTGGACACTTTCCAACCTGAGGGGCTCATCTTCCGGCGTCATATCTTTTTGCCTTTTGGTACTGTCCATGGGGTTTTCATGGCAAAGATACTGGAATGGGTTGCCATTTCCTTCTCCAGTGGATCACGTTTTGTCACGTTATGCAAGTGTAGCTGTTGGAAATATGAAAGTTCTTGGCAAATACAGTAATGTATATGCTGTTTTCTTCAAAACAAAACAAAAATGAAACAAAATTCCTATGCTTTATCCATTTCTGATTTTTCAGCAGTCTCTAGTACATAAAACAATTTTGGGTGCACTCTTTGCACTGATCATACTTTGACCTAACCAAAATATGCAAAATCTTATCCTCCATTATAAATAATAGCAGACTGTTTTGCCTACTTTTCTGAAGAGGAAAACATCCAATTCCATCAATGAGCAGATGCTTGACAATCCATAAAACAGAAATGGAATGTATTAAGCAAAATCGGTAGATCCCTAGTTCAATATGGAGCTGAGATTTGCCAGATCAACTTCATAAATTGCAAGAGGCAGGGAGGAACAGAAGCATTTGATTTCTCTTCCCTTTTCATATTTGCAGCGTTTCAGCTGTCGAGGCAATTAAATTGCCATGTATATAATAGGAAAGTGAGACTTGATTATAGGTTATTTTCTTTTGATCATTTCCCACAGGGAATGACAGAACTCAGAATTCAAACAGTTTTCTCGGTAGAACAACAAGGGATATGTCAGCAGAAGTTGTAACTTCACGCCTCCAGCAATGCTGGGGCACTGAAGAAACCTTTAAGCCTCTATATAGAGTTGGGCGCCATTTTTGCTAACAGGGCTTTTTCTTTTTTGGTCATAGAACGCACCGGAACAGCGTTCCGGCACCGTTTTTTGACGGATTTTTCCATGTGATTGTGAATCGCCCTGTCGGGCGTAGCAGGCGGCAGCAAACAGCATTAAAATAGTGCCTGCGGGCTGCGTGTGTGCCGGCGCTGCTTGGGAGGGCGCTGTTCGGCTCGGGATGCTGCTCAGCTTGGGATCCGTCGTGTGGTCGCGCGCTCAGTGCTTACTGCCGGCGGCGACCACTCTGTTTATGTGTGTGTATGACTGACCCCAAGAGGTGAGTTCCGGCACCTTTTTTTTTATTTCAAAAAAAGCACTGATTGCTAAGTTGTCAATTCCATGGAGTCTCAGGCACTCAACAATTACTGGTCAGGCTGAGCCTTCCAAAATGTTGCATTTATTTGTTGGGGCAAATAAAGCACAGCAAAGTACAACAGTTTAAGTAAGGAATGCCACGACCTTTCAGGATACCATCCTCGCAGGCACATGTGTATTGATTATGCACTTGCTTAAGTGAGCTTCTTCTCACAATCATCCTTGCAGTGGGCTGCATTTGAAGTCACTGGCGAATATAATCCTCAAAATAAACAAGAAGAACAGGGACAGGGAGAACCAGAGAAAAGGGAGCTTGTATGCAACAGCGACTGCCCCAATGTTGAGTGGGAGAAGAAAATTATGAGAAAAATCTGAATCAGTGGTAAACCCTCTGTGGTCAGACAAACTCAAACCCCACTACCCCCAAACATGCTAGCAGACAAGAATGAGTTGACAGAGCCCTCATCCCTCCCTGTGCAGTGACTTTAGGCACGCAGTCTGTGCTATAATTTACACATAAGTAGTCCTGTCAACTCATACTTTTATGCTGTTGGCACAAGGTGTCTCCTCCAAACATCCCCGAATTTCAGCTTCCTGCATTTTTATGGTGTTTTTAAAATAAAATAACGACTGGGATGACAAAGACATGCCAGAAGCTTCACAGGAAAACAATGACCCCCAAAACGTACAAAAGCAAGGTTCATTTCAGATCATCCTGTTCTCATATTACAAGTAAGTGTGCAAGTTAAAACCTCCATTAAACGGAATGCAATCGCCACCACCACCACCTTGTGAGAAAGCCTTGCTATGACCTCTTAAAAATGTAGTAGGCCAAAACTATTGTTGTGCAGAGAAAACTCAACAGACCTAGGTTTGCCTATTTCAGAAAGTGCTAGTTCCTTGGAGGAGCACTCCAGCAGGGGTTTGACACTCCATTTGAGCAGTACCAATTCCATTTGTCCAGAGGCTGACTTCCACAAGGCTTCCATCACGACACTTGATTTCTCCCCCTTTCTCTTCTTCCTTTAATCTCCTCCACCCACCTCATTCTCAACAGCTATGAGGGGCCATATTTGAAAACAGAGCTGCTCCACCACACTCCTTTCGTCCCTTTTGCTACTGTGGCTTGTTCTGAGGGTTAGAGTAGCCGGTGCCTGATTTTGGCCACAAGAATGGGCAATGATGGATATTTTTCACTTGCTCTCAGCCCTGCTGTAGAAGGAGGTGAAGTTCTGGATCATGAAGCCAGAGGACAGTTGAGCTAAGCATTTGTTCATTCACAAGCACAAAGAGGAAAAGCCAATAGCACATTAAGAAGTTACTTGATTTTCACATTTAAATAAAAATTGCTTGCTTTTTTAACCAGTTACTGATCCACTCAGCAAGGAACTTTGTCAAATGTCTTCTCAAAGTCCAAGTAAACCATGTCTGCTGGATCAGCACTGTCCATCTGTTTATTGACACTCTCAAAAAAAAAAAATAGTGGAAAAAAACTTTTGCAGAAGCCATGTTGATTCTCCTTCAGAAAGACTTTTTCTTCCATATGCTTAATAATCTTTTCTAAGGCTTTACACTAATTTATCCTGAACAGCTGTAAACAGCAAAAAAAATTGGCCTGTAATTTCCTTGATTCCCCACAAATCTCTTCTTAAAATTGATGGCCCCTTTTCAGTCCTCTACTACAGAGGCTGGTTTTAGGAACATGATCATATATGTACATCAGCAATTTCACATCTGAGTTAAGAACTCCCATATACATACATATACATACCATCTGAGCTTAGAAATGTGTTTCCTGTCCAATTTGCAAAGTACATTAAAATAAAAATTATTTGCTGTACAAGCATTAAAGCTGGTCTTCAGTCATTATGCCAAATAGGGAAACAGGTAAGTCATTCAATTGTTTTTTGGACACAACACAGTTGTTGGAACATTGTGCTCCAACATCACAGGTATGTGCAGCTTTAGTACATAGACATGGCAAAAACTAAGAGTGAAGATGAGTTTTACACACATCTCTGAAGCAACAGTCAGGTTGCCCCTGGGCAATTTACAGTCAGTCAGCAACTTACCTTCACAGATGCACTTCAATGCTTAATATTTCTTGTTTCCACTTGAATTAAATTTGAGCACAATTGTTAAATAGACATCTGCATCATTTCATACCTTGAAAAGGCAGCTACATTTTCAGCCAGTGTCTGCTGGTCATCAGCCCCGGACTTGTAGTAGTCATACACAGATTTTCGAAGAAATTTCTTTGCATACTGCTCAAAGTCAGCAATGCATATTGGTCTTTCAGACATGATGCTCACTCTTCAACTATGTTTCACTTCTTAGATTATTTAGACTTAATGCTTTTCTGCTTGTTAATCATTATATTAAAGCAAAGTTCAGATGCCTCTTTTCTTTCACAAAAAGCAAAGCTAAGTGATATATCAAGCCCCCTATTGACATTTCTGGATGATTGCTCTGGACTTTGATACCTGCTTCTCATTGACCCAAATAGGACATGTGCCTAGTGCATATCATTGACTGCAGGAGCAACAAAGTAAAAACACATTTGGAAATACTTCCCAATGGTTCCCAACTCATTGCATTGATGTTTACCAATAACCCCAACTCATCTGAGCTTTGGGTTAGATGAGCCTCTCAGGTAGATGGACTTTTGCCATGCTGGTCCAGCAGAATGCAGAGGTGATATAACTGAAATGGTACAGCCCATTCTATTTCCAAATAGCAGCTTGAATGCTGTCCTCGTTCAGAAAAACAGCTCCCTTCTAATAGTAACCTGGCACATCAAGAGAAAAATTCCAATCAGTATTCCTCAACCTGGTGCCCCTCCAGGTGCCCCTCCAACTTCTGTCAGCCCCAGCCAGAATGGCCAATAGTCAAGAAAGATTAGAACTGTAGTCTAAAATATCTGCAGGACACCAGGTTGGGTAAGGCTGTAGCTGAACTTTCTCTATGTTCTCTTAGTTCTTTATGTTACAGTGCTTGGGCTTGAGGGTTAGTTTAAGAAGCAATCTAATGTGTGAATCTTGACTTTGCAGTCTATTTCCACAAACTTTTGTGGGGTGAGAGTGGCACGTGTTACCATCACCAGTTTGCCTGCTGTAAAATAGTTGTTGGAGAAGAAAACTGTGGGTTTACAGAGGTGTTTTTGTGTTTTGGACTTTCTGCCTTGTCCTTAAGTTTTGAAAGAAATTCTTTTTGTTTTAGCCACACCGTGTTGATAGATTTAATGGGAATGGGAGTTCAGACACTGAAGACAAAGTGGGTTTGGAATGTCAGCAAATGAGAATATCAGATCAAGGCAATGTCTGCTGATCAAGCACCGTTGTCCCAGAATGTCACCGTTGACAAGAGAGCTAGGAAACAAGTAGGCAGTAGCATCCACTGCTACTCTTGCCTCACCACCATCATTTGGGCCACTGCAAGAGGCAAGTGTGCAAGCAAGTTGCAGAAGTCAAAAGGCACAACTCCAGAGGCTCTTGTTGATGGGTCCCTGCTAGGAAGTGGGACTGCAGCAGGTGCTCAATTATACAAAACCTTTGATGTCATCCCTTTCCAATGGCTAATTCAGATCAACATGAAATGACTCCTACCATCACCTTCCTAGAACCTCATTATTCCTTTCATGTTTTCATGTCAGTGCTGGAGAAAGAACCACCCGAGTTTTTCCAAACCTTGCTGGGCTACAATATCTACAAGCCCTGCCCATTACAAACATGTAAAGACAAATACACACTCACAACTCTGGGAATGAAGATTTGAACAAGAAAATGATTAAGTAACCCCACCACTTTCATTCTAAAATTTCTTCCAGAAGAAATTTGCTTAAAAATAAAGAGCAATATCAGGGCATTGCTACATGTTATGGGCTATGTGTTAGAGAAAGGCTGGACTAAATGGCAACACTGAGGGGCATAGCCACATTCAAGCATTCAAGCACTGAGGGGCATAGCCACTGTCATTTATCCAGTACACAATTAACTAGCAAGGAGTCCCATTAAACTCAGTGATGGGTTTCTCTGAGTAGTTATGTTTGCCCCATTGGTGTAAACAATTTCACTGGCATGCAACCCGTGGGCTGGAAATACTTGCCAACTGCTTTTGAAGGACTAAGAACTGTAGGCCTTGCAGCAACTTCAACCAAATGGAATTCCTGAAAGTAACGCATCCTATGATAAAGACCATGGGTCCTCAAACTATGGCCTGTGGGCTGAATGTGGCCCACCTCAGAGGTTTTGGACTTGCCGTGCCCACACCCACTGCTGCCTGCCTCACCGCCCGCATGCGTGGTGTGGCAGCAGCTTGCTCACTCCGAAATTGTTTTGGACTCACTTGGAGAAAACAATCTCCACATGAGCAAGCTGCTGCCTTGCCGCGCGCATGCTGCCCCCTCACCAGCCCACACCTGCCACCGGCACCACCTTGCTGGCCCATGCCCACCACCAGCATCTTTCAACTGGCCCCGCTGAAAAAGTTTGAGGACCCCCGATAAAGACCAAAGACTTTAGAAGAGTTCTTTGTGCCTATGGAATCATAATTTATCAGCCCTCAGGAACTGAGGCTGATACTCTGGATCAGGAAGCAAACATAGTATTACCATTTATTCATATGCAGAGATAGCACTGTCAAACACCTGTCTGATTTAAGCAAAAGCTTCCATATGGCCCCAATTGACTAAAATCATAGAAAGGCATTGATACAGTCCAAAGAGGTAATTCAAGAGACTAGCTCCTTGTGTGTGGCCAGTTAGCAAACAAGAAAACATGGCGTAATCCCTTCGGTTGCCTTATATGTTAGGCATATCCTGGGGGAACTGAATTAATTTCTAAACAATCCAGTACACATGAAACTTTCAACTCAACACCTTGCTTTGTTTAGTGACTAAAGGTCTCCTCAAACAGGTAGGGTTAGCCTTGTTGATGCAGCCATCATCATAAAGAGCTTTTTCTTACTATTCTCGATTTAGAATCTTGTTGTGCCAAGCTTCACTGTAAGTAGCACAACTTGCTGTGCAAGCTTTAGATCTGAGGAACCACACTCCAAGCATCTATGTTGGTTTCACACACTGGTTTAAAGAGAAACCTTTGTTTGCTTTAAAAGCTACAAAGAAACTGGATAGTTTGTGTGTTCAACATTTGTACCAATGTAAATGTTTGTATGTTTTTAACACAACTGAATTAAAAGGACACATGACATTTAATAAATATTTTATAGTTAATACAATATCATTTTTAATATAAATCATTTTACATAGAACCATGTCACAAACTAAATTGTTTTCAACTAAACATTCAGAAGCACAATTGATAATATAGCATTTTTGTCCAGAATAATGTTTCAGAATAAGAGTTTGAGCAAACTACTTTGCTTACCCAATACCATTTCTTTTAAACATTGCTAAATGAACTATTCCTCTCCATTTGTTGAAAACTTGGCACCTTTAAAAATTGGACACCCATACCAGCTAACCCTCCGAAGCAACCCTGTGGACCACAGTGCATTTACAGATAATGCTTAATATGATCATAATTTCAACAGCACTTGATCATGTGTAGGTGGGGGATGAAAACTGCCACTTTTAATAATTTGGAATATTCAAGTGTCTTCTTTGTTCTAAAATAACTTAAGCAATATTATGAGTCCCCATATCTGCATGCTAACAAAAAACATTCTGGCAAACTATCTTTTTAGCAAAATGTTGAAGAGATAACGAAATAAGATTTCTCTTACTTCAAAAGAAACAGTCAATAAGGATTGTGCTACATTTCCAAAGCTAATACTGCAAATTGTAACAAACATGAAAATGCATTCATGAGGATGGCAGTGACAAATATTTAGCATTAAGGACTGCCACGGTGAAATCAAGGCAATTTAATTCTGCACCAGTTCACTTGGAACTCATTTCCATTAACTTAAATAGGACTTAGAAGTATGCACGCTTAGTATTACAACCAAACATCGCAATCTCATGGTTGCTAGACAGCCAGATAATTTTTTATATTCCCAGCTATGAGAGTGGAAAATCACTCTGACCTTACAGCCTGGGATATGAGCTCAGATCTCGTACCCAGAGCCAACATGGAAAGTGCCATGCTGGCTGCTTCTCCAAGGTTGTAAATACAACCTCGGGGAAGGGATGGTGGGGGCTTTCCAGGGGGCAGGGTGGGAGGGAGGGGAATAGATCAGCACTGCCAACATACAGGGTATCCTGATGACACCTCAGCATCCTTCCCACCTGCTCCAAAACTCTGCACATAGACAGCTGTGCTTTGCAGACTGTTGCCTCCATGCTCCTCTCCCCCTGTAGAGGTTGCCCATAATCCTCTGTGTTTGTAAGATTATGGGCATTCTAAGAAGATTCTACCCTTAGTGCACCCACACCTCTTAAAGCATCTAGCAAACACTTTCAGTGTTGCCTTGTGTTTCTAGATAATCCTAACATTTTTACTGAATGCTTTTAGTAATTATATGTGTGTAACTGGTCTTGTGACAGAGTAATGTATTAACATTTTATTTATCAGATAAGACTGCAGTTAAGGCAGACTCAAAGCAATTGACTCCTATGTTCCGCCTTTCCTTCTTAAGAACATGGCAGCTTCCAGTGTGCAACTCTTTCATCATGCACCTGAAAAATAAGCTTGGACACACTACCTAAGGCATTATGTTTGGATAGTTACAGAATCAAATCAAGAAGAATGCTTGTTATTACACTGGCAATATGAAAAGTGCACTTTATACAATGGAAGCACTCAAAACATTAAATTTAAATTTCTCAGTGAATCTCTATAACTATGCTCTGCTTTCAAAATTCAGCTGAGATTGTTAATATATTTGCAATAGGTTAAGCATGTGCAGAAGGATATTTCAAATAACTTGAGAATGCATCTTGACAGTAGATTTATTTGAGCAAAATCATCTTCTACTTAGCCAGCTGTAAATTACAAATACAAGACAGCATTTGTGAAGCTTCCATAGCTTAATGCGGCAAAAAATATTTTACCAAATGCTTTAGTTTATAGGTCTCTGTGACAAGAGCCACAAGGGGAGCCTTATGACATTATGCCACACAATGCAAACACGCTGTTCTACTACTGCAATTTAAGCCTATCATTTACCTAACCTTAAACAATTTCCTACCATGGAAACAGGCCACTAACAATGAACTGCCATTTAATTTCCACTCCAGATTCCTCACTCTCCTCTTCAATTCTGCAATCGCTAACAGTAGTAGTAGTAGTAAAAATGGAGATGTTAACCTTGTTTTGAGCTTTTGTTTCACACTGTAAACTTAATTCACCCCGATACACTGAAGATAGCATTTATATGGGGAGAAAAGGAACAATGCTACATTCAAAATATATTTTACAAAGCTATACCATACCAATCAATATATGGGATGTATGAAATCAGTAAACATTCTTAACCATTTATTAACAAATAGCCATCTTTTAACTAAGTCCAACAGCCATCTTTAAGTCAGTCAGACAAACAAACAAACCTAAACATCATAGGTAGTTGCAACACGCTTCGTAAACCCTTTGGGATCAACAGAGTATTTGGTCATCAAGAATAAGTAATCTAGAATTCACTTCAGATATCAGAAATTCTTTTAATTTAGGAATATGTAATCAAGTGCAGTGTTTCCTTTCTTGGCGCTGTGGTAATCCATCTCACGCTGGAATGCATACTGAACATCAACATGAGCAAAACTGCCTTGAGTAACCTGAAGAGCCTCATGCTTTGTTAGCAAGCTAGGAAAAGCAAACTTTAGCTTTCAGACAAGAGGTTGGTCAAATCATATGCTAGCCAGTTATACGCTAACATAGTGAACAATGGGTGTGTATTCTTTTAGAAATTCTTCTTGGGTACAACTCAGCACACCAAAAAGGAAATCTTGTGGCTGGGCTGGAATCCTCATTAAAGATTATAAGATTACACTGCATGTAAACTAGGCAACTGCAGCTAAACATGAGATGTAACATGCAACTGACACACTTTGGCCTTTCAGATACGATGGTACACTGCATGTATTTGCATGTACAGTCCAGTGTGCAGCCTTAATTCTACTGAGGAACTGCTATGGATTTTAACAGATTTTTTTCATTAGTTTTAAACAATAAAGAAAAATGTAAGCATTATTAGATTATGATCAGTTAATGCTTAACACTGAAGCAATGAAAGTTTGCATTTGTGTAAAACGCACATTTCACCTTGCTTATAGCATCACTTAAAAGATAAAGCCTTTCATCAAATCTTGCACTCACTATAAAATAAAATGTGCGTTTGATTGTCATATCGATAAACCTGACATCAAAATTTATACTTCCAAAATGAACTTTAGAAAATACTGGTCCTAAAAAAAAGACAGCCACCTTCTGGCACAATGCATGGGTTTAGCCATAACAGTTTACAGGTCATGTGTTTGGCTTCAGCTGCAATCAAGGAGGGTCCCTGTTGCTTCTTTGGTCCAGATAAAGTACATTCATGGTTAATTGCACTATAGTCCATAAGCCTCCACCTGATTTTTACGTTGCCTTAGAGAGCTCTTTTCTACTTTGTCAGATTCTTGGCACGCCAAGTCATCTTCTGGCTCAGATCCTTCGACTGCAGAGTCATTTGAGGAGTTGTCCTGGGACTCATCTTTTCCATCTTCCTCATCTTTTCCCTCTTTTTCATCTTCTCCATTAGATAAACCCTTTTCTGCAGTTGGCTCTACTACTGCATGTTCTAATATTTCTTCTTCTTCTGTCTTGTCATCACTAGAGGCTAGTGGTACAAACATTGAGAAAACACAGTAATGTTGTATATCAAATTAACGATCCTTATTAACGGTTCTGTTCACAATGGCATGCCACTGAAAACAGAACTTCAACTCTTGATAATACACTTACCAGAAGCTTCTTCATTGGACTTGGGTGGATAAATGCAGTCTGTAAGTAAAACCAGTATCTGGTGGGGGGGGGGGGAGAGAGAGAGAATATAAGCTCCCTAGTTAGAATTAAATCTGTTCATACCTGGAAGTTATCCTTTAAGATATTAGGATTTTGCTCTTCTACACCACAGTGGTATACATCCATAACTTTAGCCAGAGTTATGATGGTCATATCTTTGAGTACAGTTGCAATTTAATCTTAAACAAGTCACACCTATTCAGCTGCTTGAAAGAATTTTAACCATTGCTAAGTATGAACATTATCCTGTGCTGTTACTAGCTCTTACAAACACAGATGGCTCAGTTTGCACACAGAATGGCATACTTTGGCCAAGTTGGTTCAAACTTCCCTTAAGTTAGCTAGTACCAAATTTTCCAGCTGAAATGTTTTAAGAATTTAGGCTCGAATCAGTTCTATATTCACCCCTGGTGATAGATAAGCAGAGAGGCATCAGATTGCAGTATTCAGTTCCCAACTTACTTTCTTTTACCCATATACCTTAATTTTGTTTTAAAAGTTCAAGCTTTTACACTGGCTCTTTGGATAAAAAGAGGAACAGCTACAAAAGGTACAAGGATTGTCCTTTCTAGTTTTATAGTTAGTTTCAATAATAGTTTTTAACCAATTAATTTTTTCATGTATGGATGTTATCCTCAAAGATGTTCAAAATTAAAAGGTTCTGCAGAGGCGATCAGCCATGTTTTTACAAGCCTGTTCAGTGAGGGCCTAGCAGTGTGAAACTTGTGCACATAATGTTCCTCTCCACACTGTTGCCAACTGCAGCACCCCAAAACACCCCAATAGTAGTTGGCCAGAGGAAGGCCACATAGTAAAAACATCAGTTATACTGTCCCAGAAGGGAGGGCGGATAAGAACAAAATGAACTTTGTGTAACCCACTGCTAACACACTAGCCTGACCTCGAATCAAAGGGACAGTGGAAACTGGTTCTAGCTGCCATGAAAGTTGCAAATGTGCAGGGAGTAAGAACATGGCAAGCCTGTGTGAATCTCAAGCAGATAAGAAATAGACATGGGAAATGTCTAGTCCTTGACAGAAGAAAAGATTATTTGAAGCTAACAGCAGTGGGGTGTATTGATGCATTAGAAGTGTATTAGGTGACCTAACTGGTTACCTAGGATATAAAATGCATGCACCAGGGTGCAACTTTTGAGAAACTGCTTTGGGCTGAATGTACCCTTTTGTTTCCCTTTATTCTATAGTGCACTAGAATAAAGCTGCTTTTGGCTCTAAGTCTCGTCTCAGGCTCCTTTTGACTCGGGTCTGGGGTCCACCCAGGTTTGCCCTAGCTGTTGACTGGCTGAGTTCAGTAACAACACAAAGGAGGCATAGGGAATAGACTTTGCTGGAAGGTTTCTTAAGTCCATGACAGGTTCATTTACGAGAAGCTGGTCTGAGAGCCATCGGGAGGAGGAAAAAAACAAAACTGAAGGAGCCTGATTAGTCTAACTAATGTTATTCGCTTTTAGCCTAACAAACGCCATTTGCTTTCTGTATAACTGCTTGCTTTGGAGAGGAAAAAGGGAAGGCAAAAGAATGTTGATAAAGAGGCAGTGAGTGAGACCCCCCACGCAAGGACTGACACGCAGTGATCACGCTCCACCTGGACGCAGATAAGGGGCCTGCACGAGGCCAGGCACGCAGTGGACATGTAGACCCCGCAAGGGGATTGGGTAAAGGGTCAGGCGGACCCTCAGAGGGGATTGGGTGAGGGAACAATGGGGGTGAGATTAAATGGAAAAAGAGAGGAAAAGCAGGAATTTGTGGGTGTGTTGCTGCCTGCCTGCGTGTAGGAGCAGACACCCGGTGGCTTTGCTCAGCTGAATAAAGAAACTGAGCGAATCTCCACCTGTCTGAACCTTATTGGCACTTGGTTTAGCTGGTCTGTAAGTCACCTGGCTAGCAGGGACATCAAAACAGTGAGGGGAAAAAAGTAGGGGATTTTTTTTAATACCTTCATGAGATAAATTAAAAATGGGTAGAAAAACCTGACTGAAAAGATTAAATAGAGGTGGGCTTAGAGATCAAGAAAGTGTAAGAAAATTATATGAGAAATGTTGAGGAAAGCTGAGGTAATCGTATAGCTAGAGAGGCATTGCAAACGGTGGCTGAAAGCAAACTGAGAAAATGGCAGGAACCCACCTACTCAAGTAATGGAAAAGGGGTGGGGCTCCCGCCAGAACAGTCTAAGCTTAGCTGGAGGAATCTTCCTGACTGAGGCCCTGCGCAGGCGCAGCACCCATATGTGTGATGCACAGCGATCACGATGAAGAACAGAGGTTCTGCAGGTAATGGTATCCATTAAATACCGATCTTCAAAGTTGAAGTTACTCAGTAGCATTTTAACTTCTAACATTTCAATTACAGGCAATTAATTTTCTTGAATACCAAGCAGTCACTTCTCTGTTATCTTAACCAATATATTAGATTAATTTAGAATAATCTTATGCGGAAAAAATGCCTGCTATACATCTCAATCCTTATTATCAAGAAGTTTAAAATACAGCCCACTGATGGAATTGTTCTGAAGTCATACCTCGTTTCAATTCTTGATAGGAAGTCTTTGCATTCAAAGTCTTTGGCCATCCATAAGCAAAACAAGGTATGAATTAGGATATCTAGTCTGCAGTTCAAATGTACATTACTTCAAAAAATGAACTGGCAAAGCTACCTTAGGTAAGTAAATCCTTCTCTGCTTCAACCCGCTGTCTACAATATAAGGTAATACTCCAGACCTATCTTACAGGTTGTTATAAGGATTATAACGAAGTATTACATGTTAATCAACTATGAATACCCCAAACCACTATATAAATACTGTGGCTGAATTCAGTTGCAAGTCTAACCCATGGTTAGTGGAACAAGAATGTTCAAGCCCCAGGCTCACATATCTCCCACCCCTCTCATGCAATGAAAGCTTGTTTAAAACTTCCTGTCACTTCCCGTCCCACAGAGATATTCTCCTTTTTGTCAGGCCTTCAGAGCTGTACATACCATTAAGTGCACAAAAATGAGATAAGATTAAGCACAGCCGAACAAAAAATAGATCAAGTAAGGTTAGCCTTCCAGCTCCTCACTGAATTAGACAGACCAGCTTCCTCAACAGTAATGAAACATTAACACTTGCAAAAAGCAGTTTACAATATTTTGGACAAAAATATGGGATGCCTAAAAGAATGAAGGAGCTTAACATTAAATCAAATATATTTATATGACATAGACTAAAGGAGATAGTGATTGAAATTACTTACAATAAGAGAAAATGCCACAAGAAACCCAGGAGATGTTTATTTGTGCATAGTACAAGAACTAAATGTTAATCAAACTAAGTGAAGTTTAACTGGATCCAACATTAGGATTTCATTTTAACAAAAGGGATTTTAGTGTATACACGATGAAATGAACCTACAAAGAGTAAAAGGGAATAAAGCTAGTCAGCTATCCCTCATAGCCCTAGTTAAGTTGCCAGGACATGTTCAAACTATCCAGCGGTGAGCTGGGGAGGGTGTGTGTACATCTTCAATCAGGTACTGGATCTTTTTATGGTTAAATCATTTAAAAAGTGTTTTTTCTGTATGTGTGTCTGTGTGCTGTCTTTATATGTTTATAGGTTGATTGCTTTATGGTATATTTAATATTTTTATTTATGTAAACTGCTTAGAGAGGTTTTGCTATTGGGCAGTACATTAATGAAATGGAATTGTTCCCATAAGATTGTATAAAGCCCCCCTGAACAATGCATGATAAAGTGCCAAGCAGTTTCCTGGACTGCTTTTCTGCCTACCTTAAACTATTTCTTGAAGGGTTATTCAGATTTATGGTATTATAAAGGGGTTTGCAATCCACAAACTAATTAGACTGCACTCTTATGTTTACTAGCAAGCAAGCCCAAATATACTCAGTAGAACTTCTGAGAACATGTACAGGATTGGACTGATGGATGTCAATCAGTAGTCTAGCCTGGAGCTGTCCCTTCTGATTTGATTAGAATCTTATTTGATGGAAAAGAGCCTCAGGCTTGTGCCCAGCCAGCATCTGCATTTGCCCTTCTGGCCTTTCCTGTGTCATAATGGGCTGGGTACATAAAAGCAAGCCACTGGGATGTGTGTCTTACTCTCTTAATAGGAGTGAGGATCTTCTACTCCTTCCCATGCCCACTAGGCTGCTCTTCCTTGACCCCTTTTCCCTCTACATGCAAATGTCAGCATGCATCTCCCATGCAACTTATTTGGTGTGATGAATGTCTGATAAAAGGAGTCCCTTAGGGTGCAATCCTGTACAAGTTTAAACAGAGAAATGGCCTGCAACTCACACCATCCCCCCCTGCATGGGAGTTAACTGTTACATAACCATGAGTGAACTAATTACAAACATCCAGACATTTACAGGTTACCCAATGCCAACCTGAGTACAAGGCAATCATCAAAGGCCAATAATAATTTATTACAGCACTGCCTGTTACCACCACTGAGTTAGAATTAAATAAAATAATTTAATTAAATTATTTAAATTAAATTAAATTAAATTAAATTAAATTCAAGAGCCAAGAGCAGTACTGGAGTTTACATGAAGATTTTAGAGCTACTGTATTATCTACAGTAAAAATTCTCTATACCTCTCTTTTTCAGGATAAAAATGTCATTCTTACCAGACCCAGTATCAGACCAATCAATATGGTGGCTAATACAAAAACTGCATAAGAGCCCCAAATGGGCAATCCAAGTGCGCCAGTTAAGTAGTCATGAATTTGCTGTAAAGGAGACAAATAGACAGCTTCAGCTGAAATGGTAATTGGAAGGTCTCTAATGACTACTTAAAGAAATAACATTCAGATGCTCATAATATATATTAAGACAAAGAGTCTTGAGGCACCTTAAAGATTAACACTTATGCTATAGATTTTTGGGGCCTACCAAAAATCTACTACTAAATACTGTCACATGCATGAAGTATTCTCCTGAGTTACAGTTTATACCAGGGGTCTCAAACTCGCAGCCTGTGGGACGATATTTTGTGGTCCCCACTTGATATCAAAGTTTAGTGATAGTGCGGCCCGCGCGTTTTTCTCACACGCACCTGTGTGAGTCGTTACTCTGGGCGCAATGTTCCCTCTAAGCTGCGTGCCGGGACGGGCGGGGCACGGGGGGGGGGCTGCAGCCTTCAAAGTGCCAGTGGCGCCCGGGCCAGCCTCCAGGCCGGCCGCAGGATGTGCGGCCCACCAGCACCACGGTGGAATACTTGATGCAGCCCAGCCTCACCCAGACTCTACTTCCAGCAGCCCCCAGGTAAGTTGAGTTTGGGATCCCTGGTTTATACACAGATGATGATTGTAAATGGTGAGGTGGGAGGGAAATGAAATGTGGAAAGTACAGACACTGACAGAGACATTAACAATGGCTATACACAAAGCAGTTGTTACTGATAACATAAATATCCTGGCAATGGGGAAGCCAATTAAGACATGATTAAAGAAAAACCCTTTATCCCAATTCAAGTCAAGGAAACAAAACTGAACATTTTGGTAGACCGTAACTCATCAGTCTTTTGTTCCATCTTTACGTTGACCTTTGCTTGTTTAATAAAAGTGAATTTAAAATCAGTGATACAGGGTCCTGAGAGTCTGAAATGTTCTCCCATTTTTATTTAAATATTGCCATTTCTGAAGGCACAACTGTGCTCATTTACTCTGCAACAGACTAAAATATTTCAGAAGAAACTAACCAGAAGATCATACAATTTTTATTCATAGTGGTTTGTGGCAGATTCACTTGAGTTGCACTAAACATAAATATCTATCCACTGTAAACTGAAAACTATCATTCCATATAATATACTATGGGTGTAGAGTGGAGTTAGTTGGCATCTCTGATGTGAACAAACTAAACAGTTGTTCCAACATGGCACTCTCAAGGTATTCTGGATTACAGATCTCATCATCTCTGGCCATCTGCCATACTGACTGAAACCGATTGAAGCTGTAGTCCAAAACATCTGGGGAAGGATGCCTTACGGATATCTTCAATTGTCTACAGGCAACAATTACCCCAATGCTTACGAATTTTCATTGATACGCATAAGCACATAGAACACATAGAATCGAGTTCTGAGAAGTACACCAATATTTCTATGTGCTGGAAGGCAATTTCTATGTGTTTCATTTTATCATCCTGAAACTCTTATTTATACTCTTAAATAGCTTGCATTTGTGCTAAAGTTATCTTATAGAATTAGTGAGGAACAGCAGAGCATTTCAAAAGTGTTCTTGTAAGCATCATGCATAAAGCTTTTGCATATGACTTAAACATACAGTTTACTCACCCTGATCCAACCAGAGAAATGGAAGAGTCCTGCCATTCCATGCATCCTAACAAGGAATAAACATCTAGTTTATTTCATATATAAATGCAGAAATTTATACAGAGAGAGAATGAGAGAGAGTCTGGATTACAAATGGGTTCCATTCCTGAGAACATCTTTAAGTCAAATGTGTATCTTAATCGGATCAAGTGCATACAGGTCGTATTTAGCATGAGTAAGCCAAATGTTTGTCTTAGTGTGTGTGTATATTACCTTTCCATGCATATAAAACACTTAAACACTTCCATGTACAGATGGTCCTCCACATTCGCATGGGTTAGGGGCTCAAGACCTCTGTGAAAGTGGAAAAACCATGACTATCTCTTATCCACCCCCTCTGCCCCCAAACCTTAACACTTAATCATATGTGCACTAGATTGCTTCTCCCTCCCTCTCTCAGACCTTGGTCTGATCCAGCAGGGCCCCTCTTCATTTATTACATCCTTATTTCTTATTCCCTGCCCTCCCTTTCACTCATCAGGGCCTCCGCTTTGCACCAAGGAAACCTCTCTGGATGGGTGGGGCAAGAAGTTATGCTTCAGTAATCCTCCCCCTTTACCCCCCTCCCCCCCAGGGTGATGATTTTCCACAGTTGCACATAGAAACTAGTTTGTTTTTGTTACAACAAACCATTTCTCTTTAACTTGCATCTTTTAATAGGCTTTATGGCAGTTTGTTGGTAAGTAGGGCTGTTTGTAACCCAGGGACTGCCCATGAATGTGTGTATAGTTTATATATAAATTCATATATTGAAATATTTAAAGCTCAAAAAATTAAGAGTTCTCATATGTTCTATGGATATTAAATCACTAATCATGCTTAATATACTGTGCAATCACCCTTCCTCATTCATGGAATATTATGGGTGTTTCAGACACAGCCTTCTGTTTATAACCCTCCTGTTTTCCCATGGTTTCTACTACCACTTTTCGTTCCACAAAAACTCCATTAGGGAAGCAAGGACAAGATACTTGCACAATGTATTTTAACTGGTGGGACTAAGAGGCCCCCATCTAGAAACACCTATGTTCTAAATACCAGACTTGATTATACATTATATGTTCATGAGCTTCTAACAGAAGTTTCTTGTCTGTGAACACTGTTTCATACATTATAATTCTTCAAAAAAATGCAATCTACAAACAGTTTCTCATGTCTTCAGAAAGATAGCAACTTCATATGGCATTATTCATGAATACTCTTATCATATTTAATCATCAAGAACTGATATGCTTTGGCTGAGATTAATGTTTCGATGCTACTGCCCAAACTGGGAAATTCATGCTTAAATCTCCCTCCCACCCTCTAATCTCTAATGCTGTTTAGCTATTCCTTATATCAGAAGAACTACACACACCATACCACTGGTAGGCAATAAATAGGGCAATAAAAATGCACAGTTCCATAGTAAGTCATTCTGAATCAGCTTTCCCTAACATGGTATCCTCCAAATGGACCTCCAGCATCCCTAACCATTGGCCATATTGGCTGAGACAGATGGAAACTGATGCTTAAAACATTCAGTGGTCTGACTGGGGAAGGGTGTCTTAAATATGGAGTGAATTAAATCAACAGTTGCTGTTTCTGGCTATGTCACATTTAACATGGCATTAATTCCAGCCGAAGAGAAGATACCATAATGTAATTACACTATAGATGATGGGGACTTCCATCCTGCCACAGGTTCTACAGCTTCCCACTTTTTCTCCAGAATATAGCCCTGTAGATCCTCCAGTGTCCTTGAGCCGCGGTATCTGCGGAAAACTCCATCCTTTGCACTGAAAACAGATATTGGTATAGTTATATTGTGGGGTTTAAATGTGAATTACCTCATTACTGTTTGCAGAAGGAAATGCCATGCTGTGGCATGGGTATTGCTTGCAGTTTCTAAGTATGATCTCAAGAAGAGAGAGCAGAGAAACAAGTCTCCTTATGTACACTACCCTTCTCTGCACCCTCTCTATGAATTCTAATATGAAGAGATGGAAGTGCTCCTGCAAAGCTTTCTTGCTATGCATCCACCACCATAGGATAGTGAGAGGGTCAGGACTAACTCCATATTTTCTTATAAAAACTCAATCATCTTTCACCCAGTCCATACCCAAACTGAATTTGGATACTAGGTATATCCTGTCCCTATGTAGTCCTAATGTAGATACTAGGGACAGTTATTGTGTGTTGTCCTAATGTAATTTCTTGCCCATTTTTCAGACTAGTCAAGGAATTTAACAAATAAATCTCACAGGGATCCAATTGCTACAATCGTAATACCTTGCAGGAAGAATCCCCTTGTAACTCCAGTGACAGGTGGCTCTTCCTTCACTGTACTATGCTGCATGAACTTATTTGGCCTCATATCCTCTCACTTATTTCTTTCAAAAGGATTATGTTGTTTTCTGTCTCAAACTGAAGCATGATTATCTCTTGAACAACATACAAAAAATAGAATCCTTCTGAATCTAAAAACATAACTATTGACGCAAAGCACTGGCTGTAGTTTCACGAATCTACCCAAAGTATTAACTATAAGTTGTTGCACGAAGACAATGACTAGGTTCTGATAATACATCATGGCTTGTTGTTTGTTATTAAAGGTATGAGAAACTGCAACACACCAGGGAGGTAGGATGCACATGTTGTGAGAGCCTGGTGAGCAAGGGTTATGTGAGGGTCGAACAACCCCTTTGCTGCTCCTTAAATCACCTTTGACCCATAGTGTTCCTATGAATGACAGAACTCCAAAATATTCTGTCCTTGACTGCCATGCTCAGCTCCAGGAAACTCAAAGCTGTTGCTTCCTGTACGGAATCTAGTCATTTTTGGTCGTCTTTTTCTTCTTTTGCCTTTGGCTTTCCCAAGCATTACTGCCTTCTCCACTGACTCTTGCCTTCTTATAATGTTCCCAAATTGCAACAGTTTCAGTTCTGATCTAGGACCCATTTGTTTGTCTTTCTGTCAGTCCAGGGTATTCAAAAGCTCTCCTCCAGTAAAATAAGCCTTTCATAACCCATAAACACACCCTTCCAAGGTCTGCATGATACTGCAACTCCCAAACAGGGGCTGCATATTAAAAATGGTGGTCAAGTGTGCTTCAAACACACAACAACCTCACTATGGTTTAAATAATATGTCATGATAAATAATGGGTGAAATAATCCATGATAAGCTGTCGTCTTGTGTGAACAGTGTTGTTATCTCAGTTTGCTAAGTTCTTCAAAATGTTACTACTTAGACTGATATAGCAACCAGGCTTTTTTTCTTTGATGCTGTTACGTATTTCATTATCACAATACCTGTCCCATAGCCAGCACACACATACAATAGCAAAAAAATCTCACTTCAAGTCATGAGATACTTACTGATAAATAGTGGGAAGTGTAGTGACAAAAAATCGACCGCTTACACCTAGGGAATGAAGAGGGGGAATGAAGAGGAGTGCCTTTAAATAAATTAATTTGCTTTTCCAGACATACTCTCCAACACCCACACAAGCAAGCACAACTTTATAATGAATAAATTTTAAAATAAGACCACTTTCTTATATCTGGAACTAGTTCCCAAAACTGATGGTCCATTTATTTCTAGGCTGTTGAGCACAGCTTAAGTGCCAAGACGCACAACACCAGTACAGTAAGAGCAACAACTAGAAGCTAGTGAAAATTATTAGGAGTTTCTTAGCCACCCCTGCTCCCAGTTCAGCTTTTGATGTACAAAGAAGGTTTCACTATGGCAATATTTACAGTTGCCTGCAGCATAAAAAGATAAAAGATAAACAAATACACCAAGATAGTCACAGGAGGTATATTATACTCTTCCTCCATTATTCACTGGTTGTCCATTAAAAAAACTAATATTTACTCACCTGGTTCTTCAGTGACATCAACCTTGCCCACATTGAGTTCAAGATCTTCGCTATTTCTTGCAAAAGCCTCCCATACAGATTCCATCTGCTGACATGCAGGACACCAAGGGGCATAGCTAAAGAAAATGACAGTGTGATGTAAGTGTAACATGTACTTCCTTATCTGATAAGTCTGTAGCATTTCATTTATTCAAGTTTCCCCTATAATCAAAGCTCCCTACATGACTTACATAATAAAAAATAAATAGAACAAAACCAATTATAAATAAGTTACTTTTAAAAAAAAACCCAGCAACCATTTAGTATTGAAATGAAGGAAGAAAGTTCTCCATCAAGAAAGTGTAGTTTCCTGAGCAATTTCAGTATTACTTCTGCCACATTACTTTCAGACTGATTATAGTGTTCTGTATATGGGACTGCCCTTAAAACAGAACTTCAGCTGCCATAAAATACTGATTTGAAGTTGCTTCCTGACCTTATAGATGCTATTCCCCATTTATTTCCAGGCTCATTTTAAAGTGCTGCTGATGACCTTTAAAAGTGCAATCCTGTGAGTAGTGAGACAGAGAAAAGGCCTACAACTTCTGGCAGGCCTTAGCAAGTCATGCGGTTAGGTCCTGCTGGGAGTTGGAGGACTTTATTCTGTTGAAACATGCATAGGGTTACACCCTCAATGGGAAAGTATGAAGTTAACTTAGAAGCGCCTTATTCCCATATGAACCTGCCTGGCCTGTAAGATCAGCCTTGAAGGCCCTGCTCTCTATATCATCCATATACAACTACAAAGTGCCAAGATTGCACCTTGAAGGTTGTGCCAACACTATGTATTCCTTCCTGGTGGATACCTACAGGGATCCATCTTTACCCATTCTCAGAAAATTAGTAATGACCTTTTTATGCCATTTGATTTCTAATGTTATATATATCCTACATATTGTAATTTTAAGTGCTGCTGTGTAAGTGTGCCAATTGCTACTGATTCTATAAAACTTAAGATGTGTTTCATTGCATTTTATTTTTTTTAACAGAGACAACTTTATCTGCCTTGATAGAGAAATGATATATAACAAACTAAATAAGTTTCTAAAAGTTGCAGCTTATCTTACTCTCTCCCCTCTCCCTCACTTATAATGCACATGGACCCCATATCATGCCAGACATTTTTAATAAAAGAAAAAATGCAAAATAGATTCCCCTATCAGAAACCAGCATTGAAGACAACTAAATATTTCTCATCCAGATACCAAGATGACCCAGCACTTAAGACTTTCCTCCTGCCCCCAAATGTGCAGAACACCTGCAGGCATTGTTTGACCATCTCAGGTTTATTACTAGCACCCCCTCCCCACAAAAACCACCCAAGTCACCTGCTAGCTTTACCTTGTACTTTCATAGAATCTTAAAGGGGGAAAAAAAAACATAAGCTCCAACCCTACTCTGTTCCACCAAGAATAATTCATATAAAGCATATTCACTTTTTAAGAAAAGAAATACAACTTTCTTAGGAGGAAAGGACAAGTTATAAAGGAAAGCATCTTTCTAGTAAAATTTATAATTCAGGCCTCAGCTCCATGTTATAAAGGACAGAGCTGTTTATCTTCTCATTAACATGGAGCTGAATACTGCATTATGTGCTTCAGGAAGGGTAGGGTGAAGCGGGACCTGGGAAACAAGCAAAAGTGCAGCATACATTATCTCAACTACACATTGTCAGAGAGCTACATTTATTATTATTACATTGCATTGACCTGTATCTCCCCATAACATAATTTGACCAAACACAACTATGCTGTGTTCTATTAACAGGGGTTTCTACTTTGGAAGAGATGCTTGAGGGTGTCTCTCTGCACCTAAAGAGGAGCTGAAATTTCCAGTCTCATCAAGGCTGACCTTCACCCATAGTTAACCATATTGTATCAACAGCAATCACTCTGATTAGGTAGGAATGCCACAATGGCAGGCAAGTCCTTGTTTGTAAAGAGCATGTGCCATCTAGTTTAACAGAGCATATCTGCTAAGGAAATGCACATCTACTCAGAAGTAAGCTACACTGAGCTCAACAAATGTCAGGCATGACATTTACAAACCTATAATGAGTTAAGAGCATTTGCAGGTTTAATTTCATTATTTGAGAAACATACATCGGCTAGTTGTCCAAGGAACATTTGTCACTTGATACTAAAGATGAAACTCACATACTTTGGCCACCTAATGAGAAGGAACAACTTATTAGAAAAGTCCCTGATGCTTGGAACAATCGACGGCAGAGGATAAAGTGGCTAGATGGAGTCACTAGGGCAGTGGGTGTGAGCTTGAGTGGACTCCGAGAGATGGTAGAGGACAGGAGAGCCTGGAGGAATGTTGTCCATGGGGTCATAATGGGTCGGGCATGACTTTGCGACTAACAAAAATATGTCTTTAAAGAACATCCCCTATCTTAACATTTCAGTTCCAGAGTACTGGTTGTAGCTCTTGAAAACAACTTAAATTAGCAAGGCTATTCTCTTTCTGTACCAATGCCCATAATTTCAAGACTTGCCTTAATTGTCTGGAATTGTATGTTCTTCATTTGCAGTTTGTCTTTTGTTTTCTAACAAAATTATTAACAGGTGTCATTGCCAACCCATAGAGCAAAGCTACTTTCTAATCATTAAGCAGGAAAAGGAAATTATGCTGCTGGATAAAGGCCAAGGTTAGCAAATACCTGAATAGTACATTAGGAATCCCTACTGAACTCCTAAAGGCCAATTATTCTGTTTTGATGCAATAATATAAAAAGTAATTAAGGAAATACTACACCTTACAACTAGGAACATGCCTGTCAACACTCTTACTCTCTTTGTGTGCAAAATAAACTAAGGGGAGTTCAAGTATACCAAAGGATTGCTGACATTTAATACCACCTTTTGTGTTGTACCAACTTTCCAGGAATAAATGCATTGCTAACCAAACTTCTACAGCAGCCTTTGCTATAAGCCTAGGATTCCGATCACAGGCACTTTCAGCAATGTTAAATTCATATCTGGCCAGGCTAATTAGGTTTGGTTCATAGTCCTTGATGCAAAGACACTATGATATTGGAGATTCTGCATATCTTCAATACTCACAGACCATTATACTTGAAGATCTGTGTCAAAACAATAGTTGCCTCTTGGGTAGAAAACATCCACACAACCAGTGTGGATGCACGGGAGCCTTTTTCATTTACATCGCAGCAGATCTTTATCTGAAAATGTGTTTGGTTGGGACAATTTTTTAACCTGAAAACTTATTTACATAGCCTTCCATTTTTGACAGTGTTACAGAACTTCCATAGTTCTTGATGATTAAAACATAACAAGCATCTTACTGAAAATCTATTAATAAAATGGCCCAACTGAAGCATGCAAAGTCTGCCATTGGCACATTTTCAATATTATCTGTGACTCTGCTGCTTGAAGGGAGACTTATCACATTATTCACTCTTGATGTCCAACAAAGGAATAACAGTGATACACTGAAGGATTGCCCACACCCAAAAAACCCAACACATCTAAAGTGCCTTTGAATAAAGGCTATCAGAGGTCCAAATATCGTTACACCTGAAGTACAAGTAGAAGGCAAAACATGGTTTCCTTTTCTTCTCTGAAGTCAAAAGCTTTCAGAAAGCAAAAGCAGTAGCTGTGTCAGAGTACTAGATGAGGAACAGATGCACACACAAATCATGTCATGTGAATCAAGTATTTTATCAGCAAATACTAGTGACTAATAGCCACAATCAGTAACACAAATAAAGCCAGGAAAAGCCGCAGCCACTCCCAAGATTTGGGGAGAGTTCAGAGTTTCTCCACAATGCAGAACTTACTCTTTTGGCTCTCACAATTCTGTACCAATTCATGCACATAGCACGCACCCCCCCATGCACTTTTACTTATTTTCATGCATATTATTCCTTTCAAATAAAAAGCATCGAATTTACGTCTAAATGGTGGAGAGAGGACATCAGATGCAGCCTCCCTCTTTTTCTCTCCTTTCCTTCTCAGACAAAAATACGGGCGGAAACTTCTGACTGCTTGGAGCTTCACAGTGCCGAACCCCTTAAAGCAGACTCCTTTAAAGCCGGCTGCACCAGCACCAAAGCCCCCGCACGAGGGCTTGGCCGGGCCTACTCACAATTCCACCATCCACTGGCCCTGCAGCAGGAGGCTCCAGTTGGTGCCGCTCAGCTCCCACACTCGGCTCTCCGCCGCCTCGGGTTCCGGAGGAGCCGACGCCGCAGCAAGAGACGCCCAGGCGGCGGCTGCAGCAGCTCCCCACAGCATCAGCAGCGGAGCTGTCACCCGATTCCGCCGCTTACTCTCCCAACCAGGCGGCTTCGCGTCCGCCCCACTTTGAAGAAGAGCCGCCGCCATCTTGGGAGACCAGGAAAAGGAATGTTTAAGAAAAAAAAGAGTGCGAGAGGGAGAAAGGTGAGAGTTCCGTGATCACCACACAGCAGCCCTCTCTTCCGGTTCCCCATGTGGTGGCTTCCGCCATATGCGGGGACACGTGGAGAGGAGGAGTTATGTAGCTATTATTGCGGTTCTGTGCCGTCAAGTCGTCAGCAATGGCATGGCAACCCTAGTAACGACAGCCCTCAAAAAGGTCCTGTCCACGACAGCTCCGTTCAATTCACCCAAGTTAAAAGCTGTGGCTTCTTTTATGGATTCAATCAACTTCATCGATTTCCGACTTCTGGCGACCCCAGTTCAGCTGTATCAGAGTTGGCTGGTATTAATCCATCTAACATCTCACAAAATTGTGTGCTCGCTTTCCAGTGCTCCAGAACTTATGACTGCTGTTCATATGTTGCTTTTTTGCAAGAGTTAATATGAGGCATTTGAAATGAAAAGCAGGTTTCCTGTGTTAAAAAGCAACACATCTGATAACTGTATTATGCACAATTCATAAAATTAAAAAAAAGGATGCCTTCTGAATTTCTGCCTTTAAAAGTGTGAGACCACAAATCTTGCCACAGTGTTTTTCTTTAACCCTATATAGCTTAGTCTATATACTCTTGGATAAAGGACATGATTCAAAGTGGGCAGAGATAATTGTTGTTAGTTGCAAACTTTCATCTTCAGGATCTGGCCTTCTAAAGAGCAGTCAGGGTTGATCTCCTCTAGGACTGACCAGTTTGATCACCTTGCGGTCCAGGGGACTCGCAGGAGTCTCCTCCAGCACAACAATTCAAAGGCCTCAATCCTTTGGCGCTCAGCCTTTCTTATGGCCAGCTTTCACAGCCATACATTGCAACTGGGAAAACCATAGCCTTGACTATGCACACTTTTGTTGGCAGGGTGATGTCTCTGCTTTTTAGTATGCTGTCTAGATTTCCCATAGCTTTCCTCCCCAGGAGCAAGCATCTTTTAATTTCTTGGCTGCAGTCCCCGTCTGCGGTGATCTTGGAGCACAGGAAAATAAAATCTGTCACTACCTCAATTTCTTCCCCATCTATTTGCCAGGAAGTGAGAGGACCGGATGCCATGATCTTAGTCTTCTTAATGTTTCAAGCCAACTTTTGCACTCTCCTCCTTTACCCACATCAAGAGTTCCTCTTCACTTTCTGCCATGAGAGTGGTATCATCTGCATATCTGAGGTTGTTGATATTTCTCCCAGCAATCTTAATTCCAACTGGTGATTCATCTAGCCCCGCCTTTCTCACAATGTGCTCTGCATATTAGTTAAATAGGCAGGGTGACAGTATACAGCCTTGCGGAACTCCTTCCTCAATTTTGAACCAATCGGTGGTTCCATCTCCAGTTCTCACTGTTGCTTCTTGATCTGCATATAGGTTTCTCAAAAGACAAATAAGATGGTCTGGTACTCCCATCTCTTTAAGAACTTGCCACAATTTGTTGTGATCCACACAATCAAAGGCTTTAGCATAGTCAATGAAGCAGAAGTAGATGTTTTTCTGGAACTCCCTAGCTTTCTCCATGATCCAGCA